GGAGCACATACATGTCCCAGTGTCTGTTTCCCACAAGGAAGGCTCAGTAAATATTTGTTGAGACCTACTTGTATCAGGTACAAGTCCAACAATGTTATGCCAAAAAGCTAACTTGCAAATTTGTATAAGTGACAGTTAAGCACGCCTATCTGTTGCATAACATTTCCCATCATAAGTGCTTGCTGTTTCTAAGAATTCAAATCACAGGGCAGAGTGGAATTCAACGTGATTAGCCAAATCAAATAGCTAAGTACAAATACTAATTCTTGGGATCTTACAATTAAAAAGCCCCTGTTGATGTGTAAAAACACATGACTTCTATGTATAATTAATTTATCCACAGTAGGAGATAGGAAATAAACAAATATTAAATGAAAGTGAAAGCATGAGGGTGCAGCTATCTGAGGACAAGGCAAGCCATGTAATCAGTGAGATGCTAAGCTGTACAAAGAAAGTGCTGGGGGCACTCGGTCTCACGTATTCTGCTATAGAAACACAGACTGGACTCAAACACTCAGGATTCCCAACTATTGTAGTTCTACAGTGATACCTGCTTTCCGGGGAACTGAGTCGTCTTTGATGCTTCCTCTCCACCACCTACATGAGCTCCACTCCCTTCCTCTGACTGACACCATCGCTGACATAACGGCCAGCTCAGCAAGTCACCAGAGGAAGCTGAGTGCCATTTCAGAGGATGGTGCCACGTCAGAACAGGTTGGACCACTCTGCTGGCCGAACTTGGCAGCATGTTCCTGGGCCTGTGGATGCACTAAGGTGGACTTGGTCAGCCAACAGACCCTGGGAGGATTTTCTCAACCCTGGTCCAATGAAGCTGGTGAGGTGTCAGAACTATTGAAACCATTCCAGTTAACACTCTTGGAGCACTCACACCACATCAGAGTCTTGAAGGCATCATCCAATGGCCATCTCCCCATCTCTGGATGCTGACATAGTTTGACAGCAAGGAATGGCCCTTTCCATCTCCCCCTGGCACACATAGGAGAAAAAAAATTAAAACACTTGTCCTACCCACCTTCCTACATATTTGGCCCTCCCCACCCTAATCAGTGACCCATATAAGTGTGGATAAACAATACTAAATATAGAATTAAAAACAAAATACACTTATGTTAACCCAATGATAGAATATTAAATTTGGGAACATATAAAGTAGAATTTTAACAAAGGAAATCGTATTGCACTTTGTAGTAGATACACCCCTACACAAAGCAACATCACACTTTGATTTTTCTGTCTTTTAAGGGACTGAGTTCCCAGGTTGTCTAGAGAAGCAGTTTGCTACTTATTTTATGTTATTTTTGTTTTATATAAGTTTTTTTTTAAAAATCTGAGTTACAGAGAGAGGGGGAAAAACGGAGGCAGGGAGAGATGTTCCATCCACTGCCTCACTGGCCATAACAGTCAGGCAGAGCTGGGCCAAGCTAGGAGCTAAGAGCTTCAGCTGAGTCTCAGGTGGATGACAGGGGCCTAAACACTGCTGCTTTTCCCAGGTCACTAGCAGGGAGCTGGATGGGAAATGAAGAAACCGCGATGTGAACTGATGCCCATGGGATGCCATGTCAGTGTCGCAGGACGCTGCTCTACCTGCCATGCCACAGTGTGGGCCAGTGTCTCATCCCCTTTTGAGCCCTGCCTTTACTTCTGGCAGTGGTCAGATGCTCAGTGCTTTTTAAGGTAGACAGTTGACAGGTGAATGCTGCTTCATACACGGAAAGAGTAAGCTGGGAGTTGGCGGCAAGATGTTGGGCATGTGCTGTGTTTACATGTCGGGAAGACTTTCAGGACTGACAGCCACATTCTTTTTTCTTTCTATCTGATGTGGTCCCTTTTATCGTCTACTAGACTCTTAATTCCTCTACCTTTCTTTCATTGATTTCTTGGGATTTCTAATTGGCTTTTACTGTGAAAATATCTAACGTCATTGGGCAACACTTGTTCCTTTGTGAGCTCTTTCTTAAACAAACAAGTATAGTATTTCCACATTTTGAAACATCGAGAAGAGATTCTCTCCAAAATACATCGATATTTGCCCTCATCAAGTACCAGCCGCACAATTAGACCAGTAGCGCTGTGTCTGGCTCCTCATGACTTACGTATTAGAGAACAAAAGAACGGCCAGAGCTTTGGGCACTGTTTTTGAGGGCTGTTTGCTCTTTTTCACCATCAGCAAAGAAAAACTCCTGATCTTTATCAGGTCAGGAACTTGAGTTACCCAGAGTTTCTGTGTAGTCAACCTTTTAGGAAGTACTGGGAAGGGTAGGCCCTTGTGACTTGCAGAATAACGCAAGGATCTTCACGGGAAAAAGTTACTGCATGTGCGGTCAGGGCTTTCTTGGGGGATTCAGTCAGGGGGTAGGTTCTCAACTTTAGCTCTTTGGCTTGCTGAGATAAATGACTTTTGTTTTGGTTGTGGTTGGCTGTCTTGTCTGTTGTAGAATACAGAACACCTCTCTCGACTTCTACTTACTAGATACCAGTAGCACTTTTCCAATTCTGACAACCAAAAATGTGCCCAGCACTGCCAATTTCACCCACAGGAAAAACTAGAGAACAATTATACACAGTTACAAGGTGGCTGATGGTGGTTAACTAACCCAGGCTGAGAGATTACACATGGTTTGAGTTTTCTATATATTTTTTGCTACCCACAAGGATATCTTGCACTTTTAAGCAGGGTGGCACTTGCTTGGACTTATTTCATTTGGTGCTCTCTCATTTGCTTACATTCTTCTACTGAGAAATATTTTCCTTCTGTTTTCCCTATCACTTTTAACAGTCCTGAGTCATGGCAAAGTGAGTTCCAGTTCTGGTTTCTCCACTTCCGACCCAGCTGCCTGCCCGTGTGCTTGAGCTGGCCCAGTATGCAGACCCTTGATGCACATGTGTGAAACCCAGGAGACACTGCAGAACCCTGCCTCCTGCCCGCCCCGGCTCTGCCCTGCCCACCCCGGCCCTGCCCACCACGGCCCTGCCCGCCCCAGGCCTGCCCGCCCCGGCCCTGCCTGCCCCGGCCCTGGCAGTGCTGGCCATCTGGGAATAAGACAGCACTTTGCTTTCTGCCACTCCAACTTTCCAAGAAAATTCATCTTTAAAAAACAGAAGTCTACTAGTTAATCAAAGCTCATTGTGAAGGCTAAGAAAAGAGTAGAAATGATCAAATCTAGAAACTACTTAAGGAAGAACAGAAATAATTAGGTGAGGAAGCTGAGCCCTGGGAAGGCTGAGTTTTGCTTGATACAGGTGAAGTTGGGAGTGATGGCGGACAGCTGCTACATCACCAACTACTCCGACTGGGTTCCAACCTCTCCAAGAGGGAGAGACTGGGTTACAGAGCTAGCAGTCAACAGTATAACTGAGAACTTAAGTTATTCAAGAGAAAAATGGAAAAGTACAACGGAGTCAAGGGTTGAAACCTAACTTGAAACCACACACATAAAGCCAGGAAAGGAAATTTATAGATTGAAATAGGGAAAGCTAATGACTGAATAATAATTAAAAAAAAAAAAAAAAGCAACCTTATCCTGGTAGTGTTAACAAAGCTTCAACTGCAGGAAAACGAAAGAGAAATAATAGTATCCACGAGTCACACGTTACAATGACCATTTCAGGGTCTCGCGGAACATTTGTGGTTCTGTGTGTGGGAGATGAGAGAACATTTGCCAACTTCCCAGGCAGACATGTGTGCGTGCTCCGAGCACTCTGGGTTCACATCTACTGAGGACTGACTGGCACAAGATACCTGTCCCACTTAATGCTGTGCCTGGAATAAGACGAAAGCGCACCCAACATGACAAATAGCGGAATTCCCGTCTTTCCGCTGCCTTTCCCTAACGTCACTCGTGGGGGTGCAGACTTGCCTCCCGCAGTGGGCAATGGGGATAAAAGGCCCTTATGCTGACTCAACACATAATTGGAACTGTTAGTCAATCGTTGCCAGAAAAAGCGATTCAGGATGAATCCCTCTAAAACCCAAATTATCTTCTTAGAACTTCTAACATACACTGACTGAGGTCCAAGAATTTTACACTGCGAACCCTTCGGTTCCCTGGGGAACATCAGCGATTCCGTTTGGAAGGCTCCAGAAGAAATTAAACAGCTCAGAATCAGGCGGCGGTTGGGCAGGGGTGCAGGTGTCTTTCCTAGGCCACGTAAACACCTGATTTACATCTTTTGCACGCTGCGCTTCAGGCCCTGTTCGCACCTGGGAGGGGAGGCGGTCAGGAGCCGGGAATTCTGGCCCAGGGACAGGACCACGCCGGCAGGTGCAGGGCAGCTCCCAAGGCCACCAGGCCCGGGGGGACGTCGGCTGGCATGTCCATCCCCCGCACACAGAGCCCAGAGCTCCAAGCCTCGAGCAGGGCGCTGCACGCTGACCACGTCCGCCGAGGAATGCGGCGGGCAGCGGCGTTCTGGGTGTGTCAAAGGAGAGACAGGCTGCGGCCGCGAGCCAACCCTAGCACGCCCCTCTCCTCCCACCGCACGGGAAAACCGCCTTTTACGTCGTCTTGGAGCGGTTTCCCGTCGTGTTAGGCCGTTGCGCGAGGAGAGCGGAGCGTGCCGATCTGAGAGCCGGTCCCCTCGCCCTGAGAACCCAGACCACACACTTCTCCATCAAACACGCGTGGCTTCCGGCAGGCCTGGCAGCAGCCAGTCGGGCTCCGGCAGGCAAACTACAACTCCCAGGGGGCCGAGCGCGCGCGGCGTGCGCCGGGGGCGTGGCCGCCCGCCCGCGGGGGCGTGGCCCGCGCGCGGCCTGGTCGGGAGCTGGCGCCCAGGGCTCCGGCTGACGCGGCCGCTTCCAGCGCGGCGGCGTGAGGGGCGGCGCGGCCCGGGCGGCCATTGGCTGTGCGCGGCGAGGGCGCGGCGGCCGTTGGCGGCCGGCAGCACGGGGCGGGCGGGGCGGCCGCGGCGTCCGAGGGAGGCCCCGCCGTCCTGGCCGAGAGGGCGGCCGGGGCGTTCGGCCGTCGCGCTGCCGCTGCGGCTCCTCCATCTTGGCCTCGGCGGCGGCGGCTGCCGGGAGGATGTGCCGCCCTGTGGCGGGGGGAAGAAGGAGGAGAAGATGAAGCGGTACCGGCGGGCCTTGGCCCTGCTCTCCTGCCTCTCGCTGTGCTCGCTCGTCTGGTGAGTGGCCCGGGCACACCCCCGTCGCGGTGTGCGGGGCGGCAGGTGGGCTGCGGGCCCCCGGGGTGGTCCTCGGGGCGCAGCGGAGGGCAGTCTGGGCTCCCTGGACGTGCCTGGCCGCACCTCGGGCCTGGGGCGCGCCGTGGGCTCTCAGCTGTCGGGGTCCCCGGGGCGCAGCCTGGGCTCCCTGGACGTGCCTGGCCGCACCTCGGGCCTGGGCGCGCCGTGGGCTCTCAGCTGTCGGGGTCCCCGGGGTGGTCATCGGGGCGCAGCCTGGGCTCCCTGGACGTGCCTGGCCGCACCTCGGGCCTGGGGCGCGCCGTGGGCTCTCAGCTGTCGGGTGTGCAGCAGCTGAACGCTGTGAAGCTGACCAGAGAGACCACCCCGAAAACTTGATGGAGTTCCTGTTGGTCCCAGGCCGCCCTGGCGTTTTGAGAAGCCAAGTGGGCTTGTGCCAGTCGGAGGAGCTGGAGAAGCCGCTCTGGTCTCCAGGGAATCTCTGTCGCGATACCTGGCATTTGATGACCGAAAAACGTTTCTTCAGCCAAAGCGATTTGCTCTAGATTCTATATAAAAATTGTGGCTTCTGCAAAGAACCAGTGGCTCTTTCATAGGTATGGGTGCCTAAAAGGTTTGTAAGGCCAATAGGTTTTAGAATTGTTGCTCGTGTAAAAGTCAGATGTAAACAAAGGGAAAACACAGCACTTGCCTGGCTAAGGGATTTGGCTTGGAAAGATGATACAACTTTTACGGGAACTTTCGTCCAACTTTCTGAGCCCATTCTAGTATCATCATCCCACAATCCCCTTCTACTTTTTATTAAGATTGCTTGCTTGATTGATTTAACAGGCAGAGTTAGAGAGAGAAATCTTTCATCGGCTGGTTCACTCCCTGAAGGGCTGCGAGGGCCAGGGGGCTGGAGCAGGCTGAAGCCTGGAGCCAGAAGCTCCTGCAGGTCCCCCATGCGGGATCAGAAGTGGAGCAGCAGGTAGAACAGAACCACCCCAGGGTGCCGCGTTGGTGCCTCACCCCTGCCATTTCTGCTAAGGAAGATCATCGTGTTGAGGAGCCTGCTTACTGCTCTGAGTTTGCATAGATAACATACTGAAATCTCTCACCTTTACCTCTCTGGGTCCGGTCCTACTCCGTTTCTTCTTTGGCCTTGCTCGTACTTGGAGGAGGATGTCCCTTGGCACCTTATGTCATGAACTGGTGTTCGGATGGTGAGCTAAACCGAGCATTGGAATGTGATTTTAAAGGTCATTTGTAAATTGTAATTTGTAAATCACACTTGTATTAGTTGTGGGACTTTTCAGGCTGCTTTTCTGTAGAAGCTTTTTCTCTGTTTTTTCTTAGCAGGAATGAGGAAATGTGACCCATGGGAAGAAGACAGTCGGTGCAGGGCTGGTGGCAGTCATGAGGTTGTGTTAGGGACTCAGCTGCAGAAGCTACTAGTGTGTCTTGAGCCAAGTTAGAAAATGAAACTATGAAACAGCTCTGGGGCTGTAGGCTTTCTTGTAAGTGGTTGTGAGGTGGGAGACAGGTGGGAGCCAGTGAGGCCCAGGGAGAGGGCTGTGTTTCCAGGGTTTTGGAAGTTGGAATTGTGTCATGGACGTAACCAGAGCATCACCTGTTTGCTATAGTACAGGTCTAATGGAGCTCTTCTAGAGGCAGACCAGAGGGCTCTGAACGAGCAGATCAGGTCCTCTGTGGCTTGGCTTATCATTTAGAAATTGCTCCCAAGTATTTGGACCCTTTTCTGTTGTACTGAATGAAGCTGTGTGTTTATACTATAGTGTCCTGGTATCTGATTTCCTCCATTCGTATTCATAAAGGCATTAACTTGATGCAGCTTGATTATGTCTGCACCTTGCTTCTGCCTTTCCATTCTAGAATACTAAGCTTGGGTACCTCCGTAGGAACAGAGTCCTGTCCATGGGATTTCCGCTTTCCTTCTTGCAGTGTGTGTGATCGTGGTCGTGTCGTGCAGACTTGAAGATGTAAACGCGAACCCGCAGGATCAGGTGGAGCTGTTGAGAACGGCACTTGCCACCTGCCAGGGCCGTACTCTGTGCAGCTCTCGAGTGGGCATGGTTAGTAACTGCGTCTAAGGTGAAGGAGAGGCCGAGGCCCTTGGCTGTGGGGAAGTGGCTGTTGAGGGTGGGCGCTTCAAGCCCAGGCCCCGAGTCCCACCCTCATCTGACGGTGGTCCAGAGGCCTGTGTGTGAGATCGTGGCCACCACTTGGGAGATCCATTTCTTCAACTTGCTGCCTTGCTTCCTGGAACCTTAGCTCGAACTTTGTTTATCAACACAGGAAAATGGAGCTGTTCATGTCTCAGACTTGTTAGAAGGACTAGATGAGATAGCAATAGCAGATTTTTGTAAAGCAGTAAGGGGCCTCACTGAGTTTTCCTCACTTTGCTTTTGCGCATTGTGCACCAAGATGTGTGGCCCTAGTGTTAATGCTGGAAGTCTTAGATCCTAGGAATGCTCTGTGTTACTTTCCTGTTTGCTCTGAGAAATTGTTGGAAATTGAATGGCTTTGACTGATACGCGTATGTTGTCTTCCTTTTTGGGGGGCCAAAAGTTAGAGCTCCCTGGTTGAAGTTAGGAGGTCACGGGGCCAGGTCCTTCTCGGGCCTTCGAGGGGAGAGCACGTTTCTGACTTTTCGAGTTCTCAGAAGCTCTTGGCATTCTGTCTGCTTTCCGTTTCCTAGCCTTGGTTCTGTGCTGAGCTCTGCCAGTGACTACGCCCCTGCCCCTCCGGCCCCTCCGGCCCCTCGTCCTGACTTGGTGACCACAGCTGTCTAGCATTATCTCCTGCAGAGTCGCTGTTACTGGGCAGGGCGACCTGTTTGCATTAGGGTACAGCAGCTCCTGCTGCGGGCGGGACACGTGTTCTGCCCTCAGCACACTGTACATGTGGGCTGTCCTGAAGGGAGGCAGGTGGGATCTGTGTCAGAGGGTGTTGGGACTGTGTCTCCTGCACAGGGGGCCGTGTTGTGTGTGTCATGTGGATGTGCTAGTATGGTGTTACATGATCGGTTATACATTCCAGTTGTTTAGGAAAGGTGAGCAAGCAAATACGCTTTGTTCGTGCTACCCTTTTGCCGTCATTAAATATTATTAATGAGGGTTGTATGGCAGAGAGACAGAGAGAGAGAGGAAGACAGAAACAGAGACCGAGATTGGTCTTTATCCCTGTTTGACCCTTCAGATGGCTGCCACAGTCAGGTGTGCAAGGCTGATGCCAGAAGCCCAGGAATCAGGACAGGTTTCTCACTGGAGTGTCAGGGGTCCAGGAACATGAGCCATGACCTGTGCCACTCAGGGTGGGTGTGTGTCAGGATCCTGAAACTTCAGCCTTGTCCTGTGCCACTCAGGGTGGTTACGTGTTGGGGGTCCAGGAACTCTACCCATGACCTCTGACACTCAAGGTGGGTGAATGTTGGGGGTCCAGGGACTCTAACCGTGACCTGTGCCACTCAGGGTGGATGCGTGTCAGGGGTCCAGGGACTGCACCTGTGTCCTGTGCCACTCAGGGTGGATGCGTGTCAGGGGTCCAGGAACTGCACCCATGTCTTGTGACACTCAGGGTGGATGCATGTCGGGGGGTCCAGGAACTGCACCCGTGTCCTGTGACACTCAGGGTGGATGCATGTCGGGGGTCCAGGAACTGCACCCATGTCCTGTGACACTCAGGGTGGATGCACGTCGGGGGTCCAGGAACTGAGCCGTGACTTGTGCCACTCAGGGTAGGTATGTGTCGGGATCCTGGGACTGGAGCCATGGCCTGTGGCACTCAGGGTGTATGTGTGTGTGTTGGGGATACAGGGAGTAGAGTTGTGACCTCTGGCACTCAGGGTGGGTGTGTGTTGGGATCCTGGGACTGGAGCTGTGACCTGTGGCCCTCAGGGTGGATGTGTGTTGGGGGACTAGGGACTAGAGTCGTGACCTGTGACACGCAGGGTCAGTGAGTGAGAAACTGGAATTGCCAGTGGAGCCTGGCGTTGGACTCAGGCTGTCCAACAGGTGTCACAGACGTCCAGGCTGTGCCTTCATCACGGACCAGAGGCCTGCCTCCAAAATCTTTAGAAAGGAACTTCTCATGTTGAGATTCATTTTAGTTTAAGTAACTTTTAGAGATTTGTTTTTTTTTTTTTTTTTGATTTATTTTTTTTTTATTATTTTTTCATTGGAAAGGCGGATATACAGAGAGGAGAGACAGAGAGGAAGATCTTCCATCCGATGATTCACTCCCCAAGTGAGCGCAACGGGCCGATACTATGCCGATCCGAAGCCAGGAGCCTCTTCCGGGTCTCCCACGCGGGTGCAGGGTCCCAAAGCTTTGGGCTGTCCTCGACTGCTTTCCCAGGCCACAGGCAGGGAGCTGGAAGGGAAGCGGGGCTGCTGGGATTAGAACCGGCGCCCATATGGGATCCCGGGCGTGTAAGGCGAGGACTTAACCACTTGCGCCACCGCGCCGGGCCCGAGTTTAAGTAACTTTTAAGTCTACTTACTGTGCACGTGTTGACGGTGGAGAATTTGGTGTGCTGGGAGTTAATCCTGGTTTGTGTACTTGCGTGGGGATTCTTCCCTAGCCCTTGCCAGTGAGTGCCCAGCCCTCCTTCAGACCAAGTATGAATCCTTATTAAGAAGCTTATTTTTTAAAAAGAAACCAGTCCTTTCTTTCTGTACCCCAAAAGATCATCTTGGAGAAGCTCATATTTAAGGAGAAGAATTTGACATTTAAACACTTCTCATACATTTGGCAAATACGGAGGTAATAAAGGGTCAACCCTTGAGGGTGGTGCGGTGGGGTACGCCTCTGCTGGCATCCCATGGGGTTCCTGTGCCTCTGATCCACTTGCTGCTGATATGCGTGCGAAAGCAGCACACGATGTCCCAAGTACTTGGCGGTGCCTCCTGTGTAGCAGACCTAGCGTGAGTTCCTGCATCCTGACTTCGGCCTGGTGCAGCCTGGGCTGTTGTGGTCGT